TTTTATTTTATTTTATTTTATTTTATTTTATTTTATTTTATTTTATTATTTTATTTATTTGTCAAGCGATTATAGGATAACAGGTATAAGTATAAACATAGTTAGGAATACATGAAACGGATACATATAAGAAAAATAAAAAGAAACAATAGGAAAGGGATGGTAGGCACGTTGGTGCGCTTATGCACGCCCGCTACAGACCTCTTAGGAAAGGGGTGAGGTCAATAGTAGACAGTCCGAGGTTAAAGTTTTTGGGGTTTGGGGAAGAAACCACAGAGTCAGGCAGAGTATTCCAGACGTTGACCATTCTGTTGCTGAAGTCGTATTTCCTGCAATCAAGTTTGGTGTGGTTTACCTTGAGTTTGTATCTATTGTTTGCTCTTGTATTGTTATGGTTGAAGCTGAAGTATTCATTGACAGGTAGGACATTGCAATGTATGATTTTATATACTATACTTAGATCAGACCGAAGGCAGCGTAGTTCTAGGTTTTGTAGGTCTAGAATTTCAAGTCTGGTGGCATAAGGTATTCTGCAACGAGTAGAGGAGTGGAGAACTCTTCTTGTGAAATATTTCTATAATTTCTCAACTGTGCTAATATCAGATACGTAATGTGGGTTCCAGACTGATGAGCTGTATTCAAGTATTGGTCTAGCAAATGTTTTGTATGCTCTAGTTAGTAGTGTGATATTACCAGAGAAAAAGCTATACATGATTAGGTTAAGAACAAGTGTGTTCTTGTTTTGTGCCTCTCCCACAAATACAAATGAGCTACTTTCTGGACATGGGTGCATAATGTGCTACCCCTTTGGATATACCTTGTTGCAGGTATATACTGCAGGTTGCAGGATTTGGGTATGGCTAGTCTAGAGAAAAGAAGGACTGGGTGGGGGCATCATAACAGTATTCCAGTATTTGAGAGGCTTCCACAAAGAAGAAGGGAATCAACTTGTTTTCCAGAAAGCACCAGAAGGCAAGGCAAGAAACAATGGATTAAAATAAATCATCAAGGAGCGATGCAACCTGGATTTAAGGAGAAACTTACTAACTGTGAGAACAATTAACCAGTGGAATAGCTTGCCATCAGAAGTTATAGGTGCTCCATCACTGGAGGTTTTTAAGAAGAGACTGTTTGAAATGGTATATGCTTGAGCAGAGGGCTGGATTCGAATACCTCCAACATCCTGTTGGAAGAAATATCCTTCTGGGTTTAATTCCAAGTGGGGAAGAAAGATACTGGAAACATGGAGGCTGCTTGGAAAGATGGTTTAATGGTGGACAGGATCACAGGCCTTGGAGCTCTTGGGTGAAGAAAAACAAGGGAAGAGATGCTGAGAGCCCCTTGGTTTTATGCCCTCTGTTGGGATTTGAATTTGAGCTTGTGTTCTGATTGGTTGTCAGATTCCCATGGGGCCATGCAGGGGCAACTCTGTAAGCTGTCCTGAGCCTCAAGCTTGGTTGAGACTTGCTGGAGGATGATGTAATGAAAGGGCTTTGGTCATTATAAGTCTACCTGGAATAGATCTTTGTTATGTAAAATAGACTGGCACAGGCCAGAGTAATGGTCCATAAGCAAAGATGGGGGGGGGGGGGCTCTGAGTTTCTATTTTTCTTTTTAGGGGAAGTATTCTGTCTTTTTAATATATCCTAAAATATTTCATTTTCCTAGGAGTGGTGGGTTTAACTTCCAACAGTCCCTTCTAGCTCTGATCATTCTATTCTGTTCTGTTGTGTTTTCTACCTGCTTCAATTTATTCTATTGTTCTTGGTGACATTTTCAAAGTCCCTTCTTAACATATAGCACTGCACTTAATATATAATACTACTCTATACCACACCAGTGAGGCCACACTTGGAACACTGCATCCAATTTTGGTCACAGCATAACACTGAGGGCCTAGAATAGCCACCAAGATGATAAGGATTCAGAAGCTACGTTGTATGATGAATAGAAGGGAAATAGGTATGTTTAGCCTAATAGAGAGAAGGTTTCGGGGGCAATATTAGGTTTAGGAGGGAAGGTTAAGGGTTGCCACAGAGATGAGGGGGTTGATTTATTCTCTAAAGCAGCCGAGGGTAGGACAAGAAGCAATGGGTAGAAGAGAGATACAACCTGGAACTATGGAGAAATGCCCTGGCAATAAGAACTATTAATCAATAGAACAGCTTGCCTTCCAAAGTTGTGGATGCTCCATTGCTGGAGGTTTTCAAGAAAAGATTGGACGCCCCAAAGGTGCTTTTTTAAAGAGGCGATTGGACTTCCTTGCTTTTCTTTGAAGACATTTCACTTCTCATTGAAGAAGCTGTTTCAGCTCTAATTGGATGGTGGGGAATGTAAAGATGGGAAGCAAAGCATCCAAGAAAAACAAAGGAAGTCAAGTTGCCTCTTGAAAAACCACCTTTGGGACAGCCATGGATGACTGAGAATCTCCATCGACAAAAGATGGGACAATTTTTTTTTATCCAAGGTGATCTATGGTCTCCTGTCTTGGGCAGGGTGTTGGAGTAGAAGACCTCCAAGGTACCTCCAGCCCCAGGATTCCAAGTCTGTGTCTCTCAGGTTTCAAAGCAAACCTTGAACTTCGTGACGTTTTATTTATTTTATGTATTTGTTTGATTTGTCAATCACTTACAAGA